GTGTGTGTGTGTGTGTGTGTGTGTGTGTGTGTGTGTGTGTGTGTGTACGTTTATATATTTTCAACCTACATTTTCAACCGATTTCAATAAAACTTCACAGGACTGCGTAAAATTAGCTTGCAGTGGTTCTGACAGCGCCAAAAATTGGAAAAACACAATTGTTTTTGCACGAAATCAATTTGAAAACACAATTAAGAGGCATTAATGAAAGGGGGACAACTCATATCGAGTTATACTTATTAATATCGAGGTTGGTTGGTTGTTTGTGTGTGTGTGTGTTTGTTTATATATGGGATCGGATTTCCTACATTTTTCAACCAATTTCAGCAAAACTTCACTTTTTGGGGGCAGGTAGTGTTTCTTATTGTCTTGCACACTTTTTTCTTTATTTTTACATTCAGAATGCTTTAAAATTTCCATTTGCAAGGCAATTGTTTATAATAAAATTCTATTCAATCGGTAGACTCACAACGATTGAAAACAATGTTTTTGTTTGAGTTTGGGTTTGACCAATTTGTAAAAAAAAACAAAAAAAAAATATAATAATTAAGACATGCGTGTCCGTCAACCTTAAACAATAATCTTTGTCAATTTTATTTTTCAGTCTTTATGATGGTCGATACTTGATCTATCTCTTACTGTTACATCCCCGGGCAACGCCGGGCTCTACTGCTAGTATATATACAATAGTGCAAATAAAAAAGATTAATAGGATGCCGCTATCTAACCAATGTATTTGGAACCACGCTTTGGTTTAAGGTGAAATTATATAAGCACACATTATAAATAAATCGAGTAAAGTAATATTAGATTATATGTGTGTAGTGATATATAAGAAATGTTATTAATGATGGGTTCTAAGAATATTAAAAGTTGTTGCATATTATATTAATATTCGTAAAATCTATTTTGTAATCATTTTTAATCGGGGTCGATGTGTTTTAACAGAAGCTTGGATTTGTGTATGCATGTAGGCATTAATTCAGACCTTCTGTTCAGCAAGTTAGGGTCATTTAATTGTTTTAATATAATAAGCTTCTCCAACAAATATTAATTACATCTGTTTCCCTTTCCATTGTATGGCTTCGCTTTCGTGATTTTTCCCCAGCTTTCCCTTTTTTATTATTGAGTATCCCACCTTATGATAATAAAAGATCTAATATATAAAAATGTATATATTATTATTTTTTTGTTTCTTTATTACGGTACGTTTCACTATTTACAAGGCCCGGATGCCACTCGAGGTAAAAGGGTTACGTTAGGGGGCAATTTGTATGTATAGGAGTGTAAGATAACGGTTAACCTTTAGCCTTGAACTTTTAAGATTGTAGTGGTCGGGAAAATATCCTCTTGAGAGTCGTTTCCACAGAGCAGTGGTTCGCGGGAAGGCGCGGCTTGAACGGACCTTACTTCTCACCGACGGAATACGGAGGGAATGTGGGTGGTTTGATACTATGTAAGTGGCATGTCTGTGTCCTTGCCGGGAAGGTTTATTTTCCCCTGCATTTTTCTGCATCGAAAATATAAATATGC